ATGGACTCTGAGAAACAAACTGAGGGTTCTAGAGGGGAGGGGGGTGGGGGGATGGGTTAGCCTGGTGAGGGGTATTAAAGAGGGCACGTACTGAATAGAGCACTGGGTGTTATACGCAACAATGAATCATGGAACACTACATCAAAAACTAATAATGTAATGTATGGTGATTAACATAACATAATAAAATTTAAAAAAATAAAAATAAAAAAAAGGTGAGTGAAATGCATTTTCCATTCTAAAGGAAATTACATCTTTATGGCTACACAGATATATATAACAGCGGCTAGAACACAATGCAGAACACAAAGCATGTCATGCATGGTACTAATAACAGTTCAAAAGAGGAAAAGTTTATACCTAGATAGGGAATCTATCCTGAAGGCTTAAATGGGTCTCATCTTAGTCTCTGAAAACAGCTAGTATTTAATACTTAGAAAAGTGGATATAGTTCATGGAGAAGACTTTTTAAAATCGGAGGGTAACACAGCAACAGGACAGGCACTGAAGACTTAGACATGATAAACAGTGATGGTTGCTCACACAGTATATATCCATTTTCACATCTTTCCCCCCCAAAAACCGACACTTGCCATTTTTTTAAACATCCGCTCCTCTTCTATATGGCCACATCTGATCTGATCCCAACTACAGAGAAGATCCTAACTGATCTAATCAGTATGTGGCACTCTCTGGTGACTGTTACTGCTCCAGTTGTAAGCATGTAACCAATCAGACAAAAGCAAAGATTTTAGGTGGGGGAAAGAGTCACCCTCCCTCTTCCCCTGGACATGAACCATGAAGCATACCACTGCTGCCAAGAAGACATCAAACCCGCCAGACTCAGACACAGGTGGCCAAAGCATGGAGAAAGTGGGTCCCCGATGACACAGTTGAGCAAGACAACCAACTCAGAGTCCATCCTATCTCTGGACTTCCTTTTAAGTAAAACAATCGATTTCCTACTTGTTTAAGCCAATTAAAACAGTTTTCTGTTAACTAAAAACAATCTAACTGATATACTGGAGCTGTGTTTAAATAGGTAAATAGGATGAATACAGAATACAGTAAGGAGGGACAGAGTGAAAAGAAGGGATTAAATATATAATAAAAGTATTGTGAAAGATATTAATACGTAAGGAGTTTCTATTTAATGCACTAGGATATGCCCAGTGAGGTGATTTGAGTGGGTGAATAACTTGATTAAAGGGAATGGTGAAGTTTTAGATAGACTGAAGGCAGGTAATGAGATGAGCGTAATTATTAAAGTGGTGTAAACTAGTGCTGCCCCACCTACCCCACTGCAGTGATGGATATGCCCTCTCTCTGTACTGTACAACACGGTAATGGCCACATGTGGCTACTGAGCAGTCGGAAGGTGACTTGTGCTACCAAGGAAATGGACTGTTAATTTAATTAATGCTAATTAATTTAAATTTTAAAAGCCACTTGTGTCTAGTAGTTACCATATAAGTGCAGGTCTGAACACAGACAAAAGTATAATGAGGAACTCAAAGGGGAAAGTCAAGGGAGTGCTAGATACTTTAATATTGAATCTACAGGAGTTGGCTAGACATGCACGACAGTGAAGGAGAATGGTAGGAGTTACAAGATGACTTCATAATTCTGTACCTTAGAGGATAAAATAGTGAAATATTTTAGCCAAGACAGACTGACACAGGGAAGGACAGAGATAAATTCAGTTAGAGACCTAATGTTTTCAAAGCAAACTGCTCTCATTTTAACAGAATCTCCTTACGTTCACTAGTGGTTAAGACACAGGTAGAAAATATACTTATTTAAAATTAAGTTAAAAGCTTGGACAACAAATATGACTTAGGGTACTCTGGTTAGAAAAAAAAATTTAAATTAAGTTGACTATGTGAGCAAAAGAACTAAAAATCTTTAAAGTAAAATCCAATAACTACCTGCATACCTGGAATGACTTGATCAAGATAGACAGCCAAGAGGACATAGAATATACTGTTAAGTGCTAGCATGACAATAGTAATAATTAGAGGATATGGGCCTTCAGTCAAATTAGAAAATAAAGCACCTTCATTAAAATCTTCTAAGTGCATGACCTGAAAAATAGAAACACCAACTTTATTATATAAAAATGATAAAAATAACTAAAAGTTAACACTAGAGTTACTCACTATATCCAGATTGGTGGTAACCAAACTGGGCCTTTTAACAGATTAAACAATCTGCTGAATTAGTAGTATGAATTTACAAGGAAAACAACAGAAACTTTACCAAAATATAAGTTTATCACAACAATCCATTTCAATCTTTTTAATGTTATGTTTCTAAAACTAGTATATATCCACTCCTGGGGCTTTTAATTCTAAGGCAAGGACTATCAAATGAAATAACAATAAAGTATGCTGTTAATACTAACTGGTGCAAACAAATGGTCCACATGGAAGTCAAACAAATTAAGTATTAGAGGATAAAATTATGATCAGCATCCTTTCAATGCTGAAAAGGGAGAGGGTATTCTGAATAATTAACACAACTATCATTACATTTTCATAGTAGATATATGTGAGAGAGCAGAAAGAAATATACTAGAGGCTGAGCCCTCATTTAGATCCCAGATCTGCCATTAGGTGAATAAACTTTAACCACACCACTCTGGATCTCAGTCTCCTTATCCATGAAATGAAGTTGGGTTAAATAAACACGGAAAGTCCTTCTCACAACCAACAAAACATGAATCTATAATTCTACCTCTCTAAGTGAAGGAGAACTCAGTGGACTCTTAAAATGTATAAACAACAGTTCTTAGGTCCAACATAATTAAAACTTGTCTAACTCGATGCTCATAAACAATCTGTCTTAGATCTCACAAATCAGAATATTCTATCTAGTCAACATGAATCATCTCTTACATTAGTAATTACATTTTTTCTTTAAACATTAACCAAATTTATGTTCTATTATATAAAGTAGTTTCTCTTAAGAATTTTTCCCTTAGAATCTGACTGCCCCTGTAAAAACTAATAAAAATCAAATAAAAACTTTAAAAGTAAATAAATATATTATTTAGTTGATTGACAATCCCATGAACCCTAAAGCAATAAAATCCACTGAGTCTACTTATTTCACTAATACAGTCATGAAAATTTGTTTTGCTCCACACACAATTTTCTGCCAGGTACACATCCAAGATAAATTTACAAAAGTAGCAATGTAACCAGGCCATAGAGCAATCCAGATACCGATGCTTAAAACAACAACTTCTAACAAACTGAGTTATTGCAGTGAAATAGATTACTGAGACATACTAACACACAGAGTAGAAAACCTATAAACAGATCATATAAATAAAAAACTAGAAATGGAGAAAATGTAAATAAAACCCAGATAAAATGTACTCCAGTATTCAAATAGCATTCCTTTCTCATGTGGACATTTTAAAATAATTTCTTTGCAAATCCAAGGTAGCATGCATTGTAGTATAACAGGCCGCATGGAACTGAAGAGAAAAAATATTTAGTGAAAGCAAGAGAAATATATTACCTACCTGTGCAATACCAATCAAAAAAGTACACTGACAGAAAGGACTGAAAAGCCACACTAATGATTTGGGAAAACTTTCCATGAAGACTATCAAAAGGCCAACAAATCCAAAAGCCACAGTGACTAAAAATTCAACTATTCCCACATGTTTTGATTTTTTAAAAAGAGGTGTCAGCATTAAAGCAAAAAATATCTGTAAAATATAAACATTAAGGTTAATGCATTGTTCATATACATTGGTATGAACATAAAATCAATTCTGCTTGTGAAAAAACAAGTTATTTTCATTGGAAAATACATTCATTGAAATACTTTCTAAATGCTATCTATGGTATTTTATTTTCATGTAAGTCATGATAAATACACAACAGAATTTAAGATGACAAACATTAAAAACTACAATTTATATATAGGCAAACATAATTACCTCTACACTATAGAAACCATAAGCAGCCACATGTTTCTGCAGTTAAATGTATACATATGTGAACAAAATAAACCAACCAGCTTTTACACAGAGAACCTATCTTTTAAACTCAATGTGTTAATAAGATACAAAATCAGGTAACTGTATACAGAAGTCTGAGTTGTTTGTAAATTATCATGTTAAAGAGCAAGGGTGATCATCAAAAATTTAAGTGGTATAGCATGGGCACATAAGCCAATCAAAATGAAAACTGGAACCCCTGGAAACAAAACCTGCGTTCAGCCAATATACCCAATGCATGGCAACACTGCCCAAGAGCTGTATCTACAAAGGCATACCTTTATAAATCATCACCCTATAACATACATTAACTTGAAATAGTCAGGATTTCATGAAAACAAAGGGTTTGAAAAAAGCCTAGTACTAGACCATCTTAATTATACACATAATTTGATTATATGAAGATAGTAAAAGACTCAGAAATTGTATGTGAAATACATTATATGAAAACAAGTTAAATTTGAGACTGTTTTGTTCCTTTCCTGAAAATAACTCTAAAAATAAATATTATTTAGTTGAATGACAATCCCATGAACCCTAAAGCAATAAAATCCACTGAGTCTACTTATTTCACTAATACAGTCATGAAAATTTGTTTTGCTCCACACACAATTTTCTGCCAGGTACACATCCAAGATAAATTTACAAAAGTAGCAATGTAACCAGGCCATAGAGCAATCCAGATTACCTGAGGTACAATGACGCCATATATAATTCATTTATCAGTAACCTAGTAACAAATCAACTGTAAGTTAACCAAAGATAATACTTTGCTATATTAACCAACTACTTTGACAGTTCTTTATTCCCATTCAAGTTAAAATACTCACAGACGATAACCCATACAGCAAAAAAAGTAGAAATATCACAACGCAGCTACTTTGAGGGAATAATGAAGAAGCTGTTGCAATGACTGCCATAAGAAGGGACATAAGAAAAATCAAGCTTGTATACAGAAGAACCCAGGAAAGCCTAAAATGAGAATATAAACACATTTCTGGTTAAATGCACAGGCTTCAAAAATTAAAAAATCATTTCAAACAAAACATCAGCTTTATTTTAGCAATTTTATTCTTTAAGTTTATTCTTTCCTGTGTATGCTCATTTACTGAAAATTAATGCTCTTATAACTAATTAAAAATACATTAGTTAAGTTAGAGGTAAAAGTGTAATCTGACATGAGATAAAACTGATTATCTTCTTAAGAGTCAAAAAAAACTTTACAAATTAATAGCAATTCATGACTAATTTAAATCTAATAGTCTCAAAAGTTTAATGGTGTACAACATTACTGATTTTCTTAAAATACAAGAGTTTAATGACAATTTTCTTATGGCCTGGGCTATAATTAAACCTCTGACAGCTTTTGGTACTTTAAAACAACACTAATCAACTAATCAACACAATCACTAATCAACAACATACTTACATTTACACAATGTAAGATCAAGATCAACAACGGACTCACTGTATTTACTCAAAATTTCTTCCCAAATCAGAGTTCAATGGAATTGCTACAGTACTTAGGTTTGCTTGTTTGTTTAATGTAAGCAGATCATGATTTAATGTGTGCTACCATAAAAGCACTGAAATAGAACTAAAAGATACCTACATTACCAAAACTGATTCCATCATTTTACAGAGGCAAAACTGAGGCACTAAGAAATTGATTTGCCTAAATGCTTCCAACTACTGCTTCCTCACAAAGCACTTTAATAATTTAATGCATCTTCAAAACCAATCACTACTCAAATGACAGGAAAAAAAACCATGCAAAGAAAATACATTATACACAATGACCCCATTATGTAAAGTGCCATTATTAAAGTGTTATAATTAATTGCGGCATTGGGCTAAATGGAATAAAATTTTGTAAAATGGACAATAATAGCAACTCACAAGCACAGTATTAACTTTTCCCACAAAGTGAGGTCAAAATAAATTTTCCTACTAGACGGTGGGAAAAGTAAGGAAAATTCACTCAAAAGTATTTATAAAAATGCATGCCTCTATAAAATCATCATTATGTAAAAATGATGACACAAGAAAGCTCACTTGTGAAAACATTTTTCAAATTTGTTTCTCTATAAATTATTTTGTGTATTTTCATTTAATTCACACAAATAACTTTTTTCCCAGGTGCGGAAAATCCCATATACCACCTATGTGAACTTCTATCATTTTAATTAAATTTTTAATAACGTGCATATGCTATGATATTGGGGGAAGACTATAACACACAATTAATTTCTAACTTTCCAAGATCTCAAATGTTCTATACACTGAAATACATAGAACACACCTCATCGATTAAGACAAAATGTGAAATAAAACTTAAACATATTATATCAACATCAGTTTTCCAAATCCCACTTCCCTTATGGTAAAAGAAGAAAAAAAAAGCCAAAATATTGCTAAAGCTTGTTGCCTAGTCTCATATTCCAAAACAAAGGTAATCATTGTAAGTAAACAGGATCAGCACCTCCTCAAGTTGAACAAATAACAAAATTACAACACTGAAGATCTTTATACTTAATATAATTACTAATCACACTAAATAACAAACTTTTAATAACATACCAAAAGGCAGTATCATGAAGTCCCATTATCTTTAAAAACTCCTTTAACTTTTTCTCTTTCTCTGCTACGATATGAATTGCCAAAAAGTATCCAAAAGGTGAAAATGCTATAACTAGGTATATTAAAATTACTCCTCGGGGAAAGGTATCTATCTCAACCACAGCAGTTTCTCCCATAATGACAGCTTTAGTTGACTCCAGTTCCTTCCAAAAGGAAACATTGGTCTTTAGCTAGAATTGGAAAATACAAATACAATCAATGAATTTAATTCTGATAGTGACCCCCAATAAAATGTGACAATTACAACCCCAAATTTAGTACGAACCCATTACAAATACAATCCTCAAAAACCACCCTTGAAATGAAGTGACTGACCCCAATATCATGATATAGCATACATTATTGCTTTTATTCATTCTGGAAGCATACCATAAAGTCTGTAGTTGGGAAGTCTGTAAATTTTGATGAAATAACTTGTCGAAGAAAATAAAATTGAAGAATTATCTTAAGCAGACAATTATATACATCTTAACAAAAATATGCATTTATAAAATTGAGGAATTAAGGAATGATTATAAGTACCATGAAAGACTTTCTTTAAAAAAATCTTTTAAATACTATGTCCTATTGTTTTAAAATCTATATATGCAGCATGTATAGACAGAATAATAAAACTTTATGCCATATGATACTTCTATCTTGTCTAAAATAAGATCTGGCTCGGTCTACCCATCCAGTGTGGTCTGAGCTGTGGATGGCTAAGGTCTTTGGCCAAAACACAAATAAGCAGTATAATACTCTCAATGTGATAGATCCTATATTTCACTGTCTTTACCTTAAACTTCTATATTATTGAATTTGGGTAGTATTAATACATTTATACCATCTTGTAAGAGTATATAAGACAATCCTATACCTATCATTTGGTTCTTACAACAACCCTGTCAAGTAAAGCATTATGATTGTAGTCAGTTTATTACATAGTAGTCTAACAACTAACAGAGATAGGTCTCCTATTCAAGGTCTCCTGTTGTTTTCTACTAAAATGTGAGACACTCAGTAAGGTCTAAGCATGTCTTTAGATTATAACTGTAACAGTTATACACAATCCTAGCGGCAGTATAGTTTAAAACACAAACTTGGGAGCCAAAAAGCCATAGTTTGAATTAGCTTTGCCACTAATTAACTGAATTTTGGAAAGTCACTTAATCTTCCCATGCTTCAGTTTCATTTTTAAAATGGAGACAGTAATTGCACAAATCTCATATGGTTGCTACAAATTAAATGGATTCATATTAGTGTATCACTTAGAAGCAATGCTTGGCAGGCACCTGGGTGGTTCAGTCTTAAGAGTCTGCCTCCAGCTCAGGTCATGATCCTAGGGTCCTGAGATTGAGCCCCACATTGGGTTCTCTGCCCCACAGGGAGCCTGCTTCTCCCTCTCTCTCATGAATAAATAAATAAAAACTAAAAAAAGAAAAGAAATGATGCTTGGCAAATAAGTTCTAAGTATTTATTATATAAAAATGAAATCTACTACTATGATTAACATAATAAAAATTCTCACTTTCTTTAACTTATTTTCATTCAAGGGGAAAGTCTGTAAATATACATCTTTCATAAATATTACCTATGGTCAACACAGATACAACAAGACAGATATATGGAATGCTAAGTTCACATGCTTAGAAACCATCAAATAAAAGTGGGGTCTGAAAAATATTAAATCAGAAAACATGACTTCTTCCTCATCTTTTTTCTCAAAGGAAATGTAATATGTATTTTGTACATCTGACAGTAGACAAACCAAATCCTAACTGTAAAGACTTAGGGCATAATTGTTAAAATATGGTTTGGTTTTCTCTCTCTCGCAAATAAAATCTTTAAAAAATATATGTGGTTTGGCTTTATTTTATTTCCTTCATCATAGTTACCTGTATAATGGCAGCATCTATGGATGCTTGTAAAACTGTGAACCCTGAGGTCCAGTACTGAGCAGCCTCACATGATGTTGAACAGCCAGCTATGGGGACAAAATGTGAGACATAAGTATTTGCACAACATGTAAGTGCTTTCTTTTAAAGATAACATATGGGGCGCCTGGGTGGCTCAGATGGTTGAGCGTCTGCCTTCGGCTCAGGTCATGATCCCAGGGTCCTGGGATCAAGTCCCGCATCAGGCTCCCTGCTCCTTGGGAGCCTGCTTCTCCCTCTGCCCCTCTCTCTCTCTCTCTCTCTGTCTCTCATGAATAAATAAATAAAAAATCTTTAAAAAAAATTTCTCTAAAAAAAAATAAATAAATAAAGATAACATATGGAGGGTTACTAAAACAATATAATTAATCAATCTCCATAGGACCGAAGAATAAGCAATTGCCCTTTGAAGGCAAAGAATAGCACATTCCCGATTATTTATTTGAAATTTTTGAAATAAAAGAGTTACATAGAAAGAAATCAACTGTAAACATGGTTATTTAAAATAAGTCACTTTTCTGTTTCAAGGTAAGTCACCTACAGTGACTTAATCAGATTCAAAGCACTTCCAGATGCCAGGACAAGTCCAGGTTAAGAGGACAGGAAGAAATAAAATTTTCTAAGGGCCTTTTGGAATCAAGTCACAAATACAGTACTCAGCATAAGGGACTTTAACACTGCTCAACAAATATTTGTGGTTGATAGTATCTCTTCAGAGGTTTAAGCACTGAAGGCTGTTTTCCATGATATAAACATAAAACTAATAAAGTTCATTGGTCCAAGACCTTGAAATTTTAAAGATATGTAGCATACCACATATGAAAAACAATTACATGGAGAAAAAAATGCTGATTCAGAAAGTCATATAATTCAAGAAAAAATTTTGCTTTCTGTTACTGTAATTAAAATATATATAAATGTATTAAAATTAAAATGGACGTTACATAAATATTTCATATTACATGTAGATGTAGACAGATATCTGTTTATACATATACATTTATGCTATACTTGACAGTTTTCTTCTCTTTTTTTCTCTTAACAAGTAAGTACAGTTGAAAATGCCAATGTTGGACCCCATCAAATTCTGCATATGAACTAAAAGCAGCAAAGATATGCATTTATTTGATTTACAAGATTACTTAGGGCTATTTACCTCTTGAATCCATATAAATAGAAGATACTGGAATCATATCAGGAAAAAAACGGAGTTCGTAGGACATGAAGTCTTTGAAAACCACACCCACAAAGTTGTTGGGCTTAGAAAGACTGGATACTAACAATTCTTTTTCATTTGCATATTCTTCAGTAATTATGACTGTAAAATATTGTAAAAATAAAATGAACTCACAAATTAAAAGTTCACTACCAAACAGACCAAATTTAGCATGATATTAGATGAATATAGTATTTTATAAGCACTTCTGTGTTATTCTTTCAAGAAAATAGAGCCATGAATATACTACATAATAATGAATAATAGTACAATTTCAGACACTATTTCTCAGCTGACATCTGAGTACATAATGTGTCTGTGTAACACATAAAAGTTATTAATATGATGAAGTTTAGCATAAACTTTATTATGCAGTATATGTAGTTCATTTATCTATTTCAAAGTAACTTCTTGATAAGTGAATGGATATTTTATTTTCAAATATTTCTTCTGAAGAAAAAAATTCCATTATCCTTCTCAGAAACCAAATATGTACTCTGGTAACTAAGACACACTCTCCCTTGAATAAAAATTGCCATTTCAACCCCAGATTGCTTGTTCCTTTCCTAGAAGATATATGGAGAAAATAATCTCTGAGATTCCTTTCACATCAGATAATCCCAATTTTTTAACATTTTCTTAAGAGTTTTATTTACAAGCAACTAGTCTTCACTAAAGAAGTTTCAGGACATGTGGTGAAACAGAAGAACACAGGATTATGTGCTTAACTGTGTTACTTACTAGCTATGTGAGCAGATATAAGCAATTTAATTCTCTGAACTTCAGTATCCTCATCAAATAAATAAATAAAATCTTTAAAAAAAATCTATATATATTTCTACTATTTTAGCATCTAAGTTAATACACACTGACTTGGGTTTCTTTGGTGTATATGTTTTCCTCTAACTCAGAATTACCAAAGAATTTTTTTCTCAACATTTCTGATCAGTTTTTTGAGCTAGCATGCTAAATGCTATGGCTATCCATGCTACTTGTGCTTAGGGAAACCAACAAACATAGACCAATAGGATATTAAGTAGTAATAAGTCAGAAAGAAACCAATAGGGGAAAAGTTATCTGGCTCCTGATTGTATAAGCATTATCTATTCAGTGATGCATTATCCAAAACTATGATGATACATACTAGAAGTTAATTGACACTATCTGATTATATAGGACAACATGTTAATTCGTTATTTTCAACAATTTAGCATTTCATTAAATTAATCATCATAGTAGAAATTGTCACTTTCTTTAGTTCTTATCTTGGGTTCTCTCACAGCCACGTCAGGCTCATTAGTATCAAATCACTTACACTGTTTTCCAGTCTATTTCTCGTGAGAAGTACAAACTGAGCGAAATAGACTTAGCTACTTAGCCACAGTCCTAGTCTCCAAAGATAAGCACAACTTCTGTTTATACCTTATACCTCCATAAATAGGCGTGGCAGTCTGAAATGATTACTGCTTTGTAATCTTTATACCTCTAGCTTCTTATTATATGAGTCAGAATCAAAATGAAATATGCCTCCAAATCTTTTACCCTGTACAAATGTGCTTATTTTATAAATGGTCTGATAATTAAATATAAAATATTAAGACCTATGCAACATGCTTCAGCAGGATTGAATGATTTTAATAATTTTCATTAAACTATATTTTGGTAAGGGGACATATCTTCAAGTGTTAAGAGTGTAATTTACTCAATAAAGCAAGCAGAAAAATACTGTTATAGATAGAATCCATATATAAGCTCACAATACCCTCAGGAAGGTGGTCAGTAGAAACTTTCTGCATGATGTTTCTTGTAATATTAGTCACTGGAGTATATCCCAGAATTAGGTTAGAGAGCATAGATTTGTCCATAGGGTTAAGTTCTATATCAGGCACTTCTTCGTATCTCTTATTTGGATGCATCATACTAATTAATATTAACCAAAATAAAAAAAATAGTGGAAAAAGAATTTCCTATAATAAAGGAGACAAGCAAAATGGTTACAAAATATACCAATGGCAGCAAATATCATCAAGATCTCTAAGCAAATAATGTAATACTAAGGAAAAAACAGGAGGAATTTGGGTATCCTTTCTTAAGCACAAAAAGTAAAAGCAATTCTATCCTGAAAGAAATACTGTGTTGAACATCTCACCTAATTCAACAGGAATATTAGACAAATTTTCCTTTATATTCAGTTTCACTGAAATACTTTAAAATTCAAGTCACATAATAAATTAAAATGACATAAACACTAATATTTAAAGATCTCAAATTACTAAATGTAAAATATAATAATAAATTTACTTATATATAACATTATTTAAATTAACTTACCAAACAGCCCTATTAGGGTTCACCATAAAAATGTCTTTATTCAAATCTAATTTAAAACTCATGCCTTAATTATACCTAAATGTCTACTATTAAAACTATACTCTGTTAAATTGAATAATCAGTTTTAATAGGGATGAACTCTTTACTGTTTCACCCTGCTGTTTAACTGTTATGCTGGCTTCAGAAAAGGAACAATATATTTTCAGCCTTTAGAATTATTAACTGGCTAGCCACAGTTATTACTTTATCTTTTAAAATAATGTACATTTGTTGAGAACAAATATGTGACATAATTTTAGTAATCTTGGGTAATTCAATCCAGAGTCCAAAACACGGGAAGTCATGGGGAATAAACTGTGGAAAAATATCCTAAAGTTTTCTGTGGAAATTTTTTTAATTCTATGAAACCTGGGAAATACATGTCTAAAAGTTCAAACTTAAGCACTGATAGAAATTAACAAAATTTAGGAATCTTTATTAAAATTTTTAACATTCAGAACGCTTTAAGTAATTTAGCTACTTTTCTGTACTGACACAAGTTTTACTTCCCAAGCATATTAGAGAGACCTAATGACATAAAATTATAATAAAAATGTATCCAGAAAGGGGCGCCTGGGTGGCTCAGTCGGTTAAGCGTCTGCTTTCGGCTCAGGTCACGATCTCAGGGTCCTGGGATCGAGCCCCGTGTTGGGCTCCCTGCTCCGTGGGAAGCCTGCTTCTCCCTCTCCCACTCCCCCTTCTTGTGTTCCCTCTCTCGCTGTGTCTCTGTCAAATAAATCTTTAAAAATAAAAAATAAAAATGTATCCAGAAAAATAAAACCTCTCTTGATGACAGAACATGTCAGTGCAAAAACTGCAATAAGGCATAAGAAAGTCATTTAATTTACCTGAACACTACTTTTTTTAGTCCTGCATTTGATTAGGTAATTCTTCAGTAGCAGTGTTCTGGTCTGTCTCCAAACTCCCACCTCCCTAATTGCAGCAGCCATGTTTTATGGATCAATCTGTTAAAAGAGTAGATGAAAAAAACTGGAACCACACAGTCAAGCACATGCCATTTAATAGCAAAAACAAACAGATGTTTCAGTCTCAGGTTAGATGGAATTAAGCATACTCCAAGCTGTCTCTCCCCTCTGGACAGAATACATGGAACAGCAATTTAAAGACCCTGAAAAGTAAATCGTATGTGAAACAAGAGGGAACCAGAATTCAAAATCCCCACAACAGTGAGCTCACCACTTTTTCTCTTTTCGTATCCCCCAAACTGAATGCCCTGGAAGTAGGCACTGGGGCAGAGAAACCAAGGTCCAAAAGCTCTCTACTTCTGGCTTGAGAACTCGGAAAGGAAAATTTGCTCAGGGAGAATGGAAAATACCCCAACTCTTTTTCTTTTCTACATTCTCCTATGCCCCATCTCCAAGCAATCACATGATAGCAGTGTCAGACTGCAGTAATGAAAGCTTAATGCAGCCCCAACTCTGAGGCTTCTCTCCAGTAAGTGGAGCTATAGCTCCAAAAGGGTGGAGCCAAATCCCAAGGCGTTCTCCTCTTGCCACTCCCCTGGATGTGGTGGATGCAGATGCACAAGTATGTGGCCCAATGGGGCAAATAAACCTAGCATTTTGGCTGTAGGATGGAAATGAGAAGCCATAGGGAATTCAAAAGTAGTAGGGAGAGCAACTAAAAAGAAGAGCTCAGGAAAGCAACGTATAAAGTTGTTTATTAACTCCTGGACTAACCCCCAAGCCGGGCACACATGGACCTAATCCTATTCTGTGTACCAAAGACCTGAGGAACTGAACTAAAAGACTACTGCCCAGATCCAGACTGATCATCAGGTGGCATACACAGGACAGATCCAAACTGTACTACAAGGGCTTTTGAAAACTAAACTGAAATCAGAACCACAGCTCAAAGAATGCAGATGAAACCTGTGACCTGAACCTAACCAGGCTGACTAGCATGCTAGAAGAAATTATCAACACTCTCCATATAATCAAAACAAAGCCCAGTCTCATACAATCCAAAACAACTCAGCCAAAGAAGTGGGTGGAAAATATCAACTCTATTAAGAAAAGAAAAATCAACAGATGCCAACACCAAGATGACAAATTTTGGAATATTGAGACAAAAACTTTAGATATTTAAAAAGTGTTCCAGCAAACAACAGCAAGCACTGTTAAAAACAATGAAAAATAAAAAAAATCTCAGCAAAGAAACAAGACATAAAGTAGCACTAAATAGAAACTTTAGAACAGGGGCACCTGGGTGGCTCAGTCGTTAAGGGTCTGCCTTCAGCTCAGTTCATGATCCCAGAGTCCTGGGATCAAGCCCCACGTGGGGCTCCCTGCTCAGAGGGGAATCTGCTTCTCTCCTTCCCTCTGCTGCTCTCTCTGCTCATTCTCTCTCTCTCTCACTCAAATAAATAAATCTTTTTTTATTTTTTAAAAAGGAACTTTAGAACAGAAAAACACAATAACAAATAAAACCCATGGAATGCGCTCAACAGTAGAATGGAGATAACAGAAAAGTCAGTGAACTTCACAGACTAATAGAAGCTATCCAGTCTGAATCACAGAGAGAAAATAGGTTTTTAAAAAAATTACAGTGTCTTAAGAGAACCATGGACAATAACAAAGGTCTAACATTCAAATTATCAGAGTTCCAGAAAGGGGAGAAGAAAGAGTGTTAATGATGAAAAATACTTTGGGCAAGAGATAAAAATCTACAAGTTCCAAGAGGCTTAGTGAATCCCAAACAGTATAAATCAAAGGAAATCCATATCCATACAGATCATAATCAAACCATTAAAAATTAAAGATAGTAAAAAATCTTGAAAGCAGTCACAGAACCATGCATTACCTATACAGGAATAATGACTTGGAGAGCAGATCTCGCCTAAGAAACTCTATGGCAAAACTGGAATACTTACACACTGCTGGTGGGAGTGCGGGTTCAACTACTGAGGAAAACAGTTTGTCAGCTCCCCAGAAAGTTAAACATAGAATTACCATATCACCCCACTATTCCCCTTCTAGATATATACCCAAAGGAACGCTTCTAGGTATATACCCCCAAATACTGAAAACAGGGAATCAAACAAGTACACGTTCACGCAGGTTCATAACAGCCCTATTCATAATTGCCAAAGGTAGAAACAGCCCAAATGTCCATAAACAGATGAATGGATAAACAAATTGTGATATATACACACAATTAAATATTATTCAGCCATAAAAAGGAGTGAAATACTGACATATGCTACAAGGATGAACCTCCAAAACATTATGCTATGTGAAAGAAGCCAGACACAAAGATCAAATATTATGTGATTCTGTTCATATGAAATTTCCAGAATATATAAAGCCATAGAAATGAAATGAAATGGAGATTAGTGGTTGCCAGAGGCTGGGGAGAGAATAGAGAGAAACTGCTTAATGAGTAAAGGGTTTTAGTTTGAAGTGATGGAAACAAACTTCCCCTTATTTTTTTTTTTTTTAAACAGTATGACCTAAGGGCATCTGGGTGGCTCTGTCGGTTAAGCATCTGACTTCAGCTCCAGTCATGATCTCAGGGTCCTAGGATTGAGCCCCAAGGCTGGCTCCTTGCTCAATGTGGAGTCGGCTTGTCTCTCTGCCCCTCCCCTAGCTCATGCTCTCCCTCAAATAAATAAAATCTTTAAAAACAAAAACAGTATGATCTAAATCATTGTCACATGTCCAGTATCCCTCTTCCAGCCTATCTTTACCCTTTGAAGGTCCCTGGAGCTCTTTCCGCCAGTGGACCTCTGTTGGAGCTATCTCAATTTTTCAAAGAGGTTATAGTAAAGCTGAACCTAAGAGAAGTGGCCAGAGTTTCAGCTGCTATCTCTGTGGTCTTTATTCCAATTTGCTTACCCCAGTAACCTAGAATCTCTACACACCGAAGGGTATTGAGAGGGCAGCTTGAAAGAGACAACAAAAAAGTCCTGTTAGGCCATCTTCCAGAACATTAATTGTTGCCTTGTTGTATATAAACCTATTTGATAGGGGCCACTGGTGTGACTTCCCTCCAAAACAAGAACAATCCATTTCAAGCTGGCTGACCATCTCCACCTAGATAAAAAAAAGCAGGCAACTTTTAGAGGCAGCTCATCTTACTCAAAAAAGTAAATATAAAATTAAGTTTGGATTAAATAAGTATCCTCTTTACGTGCACAAAGACAAGAGAGATTTTTTTAACAACGGAATTATGGACAACTTTTACTTTCTTTGTGCTTTTTTGCCCATTTTCTCAATTTTCCTATTAATATGTGTTACTTATGTACTAAAAAAATTATAGTGGTGCCTGGCTGGCTCAGTCAGAAAAACATGCAACTTTGATCTCAAGGTTGGTAGTTCAAGCCCCACACTGGGTGTAGAGATTACTTAAAAATAAAAAATCTTTAAAAAAATTACACAATTAGACATACTGTAAAAAATATTAAATAAGTACATTAAAAACAGAACTAATAAAGCAGTCAAGAATGGAGGATACGTTAAAAATAAATTCTTCCAACAGGCTCATTAATGTTGTATTAGATTCTGTAAAGAACTGATAATCATCTCTAGGCCAAAAAGAAGAAACAAACAAAAAAAGAAAAACTGCACTCATTCAAGGATGATTTACTACAACACAAACAGAAACATTAACCAGTACAGCAAGAACATTCTCATTATCTGCCAAAACACATTGATTTAGTGGGCACCAATGAATTATTCATTCAAATTGAATGCTGCATGCTTAAGTCTTCATTTTTAGAAAAGAGGCTCCTCATAAAGTTGCTGATGGACTCACAAATATTTTTCTTCCTTGAGAACTGCTTCCTGAGCTCAGGGTTTTGTCTTTAACAGGTTTATCTGAAGTTCATGAACACTTGCACCTACCCTACCACTAGTTAGGGCTTTTTAGAGCAAAACTTACTTCTACCCTCTGATGTGGGAAACAAAGGCAGAAGGAAATGTAGATAAAATTAAATGTCCTTATAACCTGCAGCCCAATGACAAATAACTCGAGGCAGGCAGAGCATAACGTTCCTCCAGGAAGCTCCCAACTGTCTTAGCATTAATGCCTTGGTAGAGGGAAAAACTACCTCAGATTAACAGCCAGGCCTCCACTATCCTGAGAGTCTTCTTTAGCATATGAAAATCCTTTTGAAACTTCCCTTTGTCTTTACTTCCAACCCCAAGTATATAATCAGTTGCCCCTCACAATCACAGATCAGCGCGTCCTGCCCATGGGTCCTGTCCCCATGCTTTAATAAAACCACCTTTTGCACCAAAGACATCTCAGGAATTCTTTCTTGGCCATCAGCTCTGGACCCCAACAGTACTCCAAAAACATATCACCCTCCACCCTCCCACCATGCCAAGAGACACACAAACCATTGCCATCCCCACCACTACCACCTCTACGGCTGGAAGTATGGAATTTTTAACTAAGATCCAGAGACTGGGAGTCATGTAAACAGTTACATTAATGGAAACATTTAAGAAAGAAAATTCAGGGGTGCCTGGTTGCTCAGTGGGAAGAGCACACAACTCATTGAGTTTGAGCCTAATGTTAGGCATAAAGCTTACCTTAAAAAAAAAAAAAAGTTCATGCACTTCATGTACTCTTGGTACTATGCTTTCCCCTAAAGTATGATACCTCCTGTGCCCAAAACTTGGTTTTTCTTTCTTAGAGTATGTGAAATGCCCTATTATCCACCCAATATATTTTATTTTCATATAAGCTAGCCAGAATCAGATTCTGTTCTTCACAACCAAAAACACTTAACTAATATAACATTATAATGTGTTCTTAACTCCATAGTTAAACTATTCATAAGGACAAGAGTGATTTTCAAAGTGAGCATGATAAGGGGAATGTTAAAAATCTGTCTACCTCCCGTCCCTACTAAGTGAAGAGTTCCACTGATACTATTGGGAATGCCTAAGGGCAGATAAAAAGTTGAGAACGACTAAATGATGTAGAGTTCTTCAAG